GAGGCATGACTCGGGGTGGGGGGTGCACGTGGCCCCTTGCAGGGGGTGGGCGCTGGGTGATGCGTCTCGCTGCTGCCCATAGGTGTTCCTGGGCGAGGTGAACTCGGGCATCAGCAGCACCCAGGTGGTGGTGAAGGAGCTGAAGGCCAGCGCCAGCGTCCAGGACCAGATGCAGTTCCTGGAGGAAGCCCAGCCATACAGGTAGGGCTGCCGGCCAGGCTGGGAGTGGGGGTGGGGGTGGAGGGGTGCGGGCAAGGCGGGCGCAGAGACTCAGGGCTGGGACCAGGGGCATCAGTAAGGCTGGGGGTGTGGGGGTGGGGGCAGGACTGAACAGCTCTCAATTGTCTGCAGAAAGGCAGATAAAGGGCTCATTGTGGCCAGGCCCGGCTGGCACGTCTTGGTACCCCGGCTTGTTCCCTGCCTGCCTCCGGGGACATGTTACAGGCACCCCTGTCCCCGCCGGCCTGCACCGATGCGGACAAAGGGGAGGACAGGGTGGCGGGTGCAGAGGGGGGTTGCTGTTTCTCAGCTGTTCACATCGCAGCCCCCGCAGCCCTGGGTGCCCCTCGCTCCTGCCGGGTCTCATCCGCTCCGGCGGCGCGTGTCCCCTGCGCAGGGCTCTCCAGCACACCAACCTGCTGCAGTGCCTGGCCCAGTGCGCCGAGGTGACCCCCTACCTGCTGGTCATGGAGTTCTGCCCGCTGGTGAGTCCGCGCGCCCCCGACTCCCCAGGGTGCACGGGTCTGGGGAGGGGTCCCGGCAGCCGGGGGTCATTTCGGGCCCTGATTCAGCACTGGGCAGCCCCAAAGCCCCTTCCTGACATCCCGGGGGGGCTCTGCTCGCCTCGGGTTTAACAAGCCTGCGGGGCTTGGCCGGGATGAGGAAGCCACCCGTGGTGCTGAGAGCCACGGCGGCTCCCCGAAGCCGGCACGGAGCCTTGGGGTGTCGGTGGGGCGAAAGAGAGACAGGAGCCCCCTGCTCGATGCGGCTGATGCAGCACCGGGCAGGTCCCTGGGGAAGGGGAGCCCCCGCTCGTGGCCCCCACACCTCTGGGGCTGGCCCCTCTCTCCCTAGGCTGGTTTTTGGTGGCTGGTTGTCCTCACTTTGTGCGGGCAGAGCCCCCCAGCATGCACCAGGCACCCATGGCTGAGTCGGGGGGGGGATGTCTACCATGGCAGGGTGACCTGAAGGGCTACCTGCGGAGCTGCCGGGGGGCCGACTCCATGACGCCCGACCCCCTCACCCTGCAGAGGATGGCCTGTGAAGTGGCCTGTGGCATCTTGCACCTGCACAAGAACAACTACGTGCACAGGTAAGACCCCCCCACCAACTGTCTGTCTGTCTGGGGAGGGGACAGCTCGGACAGACAAGTGGCTGCTCTCCCCAGGAGCAGGAGCAGGAGCAGGAGCAGGAGCAGGAGCAGGAGCAGGAGCAGGGCACCGGGGCTTTCTGCAGCTCACTGCAAACTCCCCCACCGGCACCCAGCAGACACCCATACAAGCCCCCAGCACCCCTGGGTGGGGCATTGTGGTTGGCCTCTCAGGTGGTCTGGGGGCGGGCAGGGGTCTGGTCCCTGTAGGGAGAGGGATGTCTGCCTGCTCCTAACCTGGGCATCTCGGGGAGGGGCCAGGGCTGGGTCCCACACGAGCTGCCCCAGGTTTGGCTGGGCAGGGACGGGGCGGGGGTGTTTGCTGCCTGGTGCCAGGCTCTCCCAGGACGCCTGGGTTCTTCTCGAGCTGCTGCTGCCACTTGCTCCCACCTCCCCAACAATATCCTGGTGCTGAGCGAGTTGCGCACAGAGACTCCAGCATCAGTGATTTTGTTGAGGAGGGCGAGCGCTGCCGCCTGGGGCCGCCGGACCCTCCTTGCCTGCCGCCGCCCTCCACCGGGGTCTGCCTCTCCGCGGCAGCCTGTGCCCCCTGCCCGGTGCAGAGCCCAGCGGGCACCAGCATGCACACGCTCCTGCTGTCACCGTGCACTGGGGTGGGGGGGCTGCCAGGCTCGGGCCCCACTGTCCGGTGGCTTTGGTACCCACCTGGGCAGATGCACCGGTTTCTGTTGGCCTCGGCCCCTTGCCCCAGGCTTCGCCCTTGCAGAGGGGCAGCTCAGTGCCCTCCCCCAGCCTGCTAACTGGTGGTGGTGAGTATATCGTGCGAGAGCTGGAGCCGAGATCCCCTGGCCTTGTCCAGAGGCAGCTGGGGAGCCCCGTGAGGGGGCACATCTGCTCAGGGCTGGGAGCCTGTTGCAAAGCCCGTGCCTTGCCAGGATGCACGGCCTCGCCGGAGGGCCTGGCCTGTGTCTCGCGTGTCTGCTAGGAGTACGGCTCAGCAGCCTCCTTCCAGCACAGCGCCGTCTGTGATGGACACAGGGGTGGACGAGGGCCCAGGCACCTGGAGCCCCTTCTATTAGCCGCCGAGCTGCCCAGCTCGCTGCTCGGTCTCTCCCAGCTCTCCCCAGCACGTGGCACCAAGCCGTGCCGTGTCAAGGCTGGCTCCCCAAAGGCCCCTGCCCCTGCCCCTGCGCCTTTGCAGCAAGCTCTGGTCAGGCCTCTCTATCCTGGCTGGCTGCTGCCTGCATTGGCACCCCGATGGGGCACCCCGGCCCTGCCGGGACCTCTCCAGCCCGGCCCGCCGGGCGTTGTGTAACCTCCGCCATGCCTTTCCTCTGCCCAGTGACTTGGCTTTGCGGAACTGCTTACTCACTGCCGACCTGACTGTCAAGATCGGGGACTACGGCCTCTCGCACTGCAAGTACAAAGTAAGTCTGGTTTGGGTGCGGGGGCGGCGGGGGCGCAGCCACAGGGGACGGTGGGCGCCTCGGTTTGGTCTGGCCACCCAGCGCGTGGCAGGCAAGAGAGTCTGGCTGAGCTCCCTGCACGCACGCCCGTCTCGCCTTCCCCGAAACCTCACCACGCCCAGGGCAGGGCTGGAGCCCCGTCTCCTGAGCCCCAGGGTCCGTGCTCAGTTTCCCTGCTGCCGGCAGCCTGTGGCTCAGGAAGGGGCCGTCACCGCAGCTTCCTCTCCTCCTCCCGGGTGGTTGCAGCCTGTGTATGGGGTTCCCACGCGCCGTCTGGGCAGGGCAGATGCTCCTGGCGTGAGCCAGAGGAGCGCTCCCCCATGCAGCCGGCAGCCCCCTGCCCCTTCTAGGCAGCGCCCGGCTGGGGCTGGTCCCCTACCCGGAGGGGGCTGTAGGCGCCTTCCAGGGCAGGGTGTGAGGGGCAGATCCCTGCCCCCAGCCCCTTCCCCTCCCTGGGCTTTGCAGCAGCCTGGACTTCTCCTGGAGGTGAGTCCCTGCACCAGCTGCTTCTGCCTGCCCCCATCCCGGCCCTCGGTGGGGCTGCTGCAGGCCTGGGGGGTGCATGGCTGGGAGGGGATGGAGCGGGGAGTAAA